AACCATTACTATATAAATGAGGTAGATACGATCCATCCAAAGCTGTTGACACTGAACAAAACCAAATGGGAGTTGTAAAATTCTCTCCTTCAGTAACTAGCGGGAACCTGAGGGGCTGCATACCAGAACCCATATCAAATCTATGAGGTAGAGAGGCCTAGGATCATCTAATCGAGTGTTTGTACTGCCTTTTCGACACAAAGATCACAACAGCAAGGAAGCTGACAAAACAATATTAAATATTACAATATTAATGAATATAGGATGAAGAAAACAACAAATTTAGAAAGAGCAAGCAAATTACCTCCTTCGATTCAGCAACACTGCCTTGTTACACATCATATAACTCTGCAGATGTAGACACAAAATATGGCCTCATAAAAGTTATCACATCGCCTTGATCTTTCTGCTAATGGTGGAATCCCTACAGAACCCACACACGACATGCATCAGTCAGAAGGACACAAAATCACCCCAGATCAAGAAAATGCGATAAGAATCCAATAGAGTGACCAATTCTAATAGGGAACAAAATAGCAACATCAACCCTCTCTCTTTGTATATGCATTAGCAGCAAAATTTTCTCTTCTACTCTCTGACTTTTCAGCCGCATACACATGAGCTGCTGGAACATCACCTAAATATTTGCCGACTTTTCTCCTCTAATCTCTTGAATTAATCCCCATCACAACAGCTAGTCCAGCACTTCCTTTCCCACCTCTCTTTTCACAAACAAATGAACAATGTAACAAAAAGGGATCTCGGAGAAATGATCAGAGAAAAACCAGAAACTTCAGGAACTGCCGGCTCGTACTCGTCCACCTACAGAGGAAAAGAGGAGCAATGAATCAGTATAAGCATACCATTGAACATATGGTATGCACCTCCCTCGTGCTCCTAACAGATCTCGCCATTGCCAAAGAGGACATAACAGTACTGACCTGCAGAGGAGGTGGTTGCAACATAGTGAGGAAGCCAACATCAAGAAGGTCGATTGGATCGCTACCCCGGCCATCACAAGGTGCATCAAGAGTCGCCGTCTCCGCCTCCAAGAAGATGCTCCTGGATCTGGAGCGGTTGGCCCTTGACGGCTCAGACGAAGAGGCCGTGTCGATGGCGACTTGCCTCCGCATGACGGTGGTTCTAGTCGAGCTGCTTCTGGCGCCGACGACAGTGCCCTCCTCCACATCCTCGTCCTCCCTGCCGGCCACCTCCATCGAGCCGGATTGAGAAGAGAAAGGGGTAGGAGTGCCAGAGAGGCGGTAGAGGTGAGGGAAGGGGAGGGAAGGAGGCGACGTGCCTGGGTCGAGAGGAGGCGTGGGCGATTGGATGGGGAGTCTTCTTGGCCGGCGCCGGAGGACCTGGAATGGGCCGATGGGGCGAGGCGGTGGCGGTAGCAATGAGGCAGATATTTTGGGAGAGGAAAGGAGAGGTCGCGTGAGTCGAGGGAAAAGGGGTGGAGCAACTTCCTCTCCCCCCCCCCTCTTTCTTCTGGAGGAAGCAAACAACACTGTGGGACAGCGAAGGGCGAACTGCTAGTCCATTTTGTCTTGTACCTAATCCGACGTGGCATGCACGAGCGACCACCATAGTCGCGTAGCTTATTGTTTTGGATAGCTTTTGTCTGGTTACTTGAGCTGTTAGTTGTGTGATACAGGGGCATGCTAGATCATTCCAGTGCTAATGTTGTTTATCAGATCCGGTATCAAGGTGTCAGATTTGTCAAAGATTTTGGCTGTTCATCGTGAATGTTCTGTGTACAGTAATCCACATCATTGCTAAATGAAAACAGATATATTTAGAATAAGAATGGGAGGGATTAGTTGGTATTTAAAAAAAATGAATTGATCAGTCAGAGTAGTAGGGTCTTATATGTTAATGTGTGTGAGCGTGTCTGCCAGTGCTAGTGTATATGTCACTATTGTTTCACAATATTTTTGCCGGCTTTTTGGAATTCTAAATTTTGTGTTTGTGTCTGCATGCTACTCTCTCGGGTCCGGCAAAAGCTATCATTATAGACATGAGTAGTCAATTTTTTTACCACTAATAGATTTATATTATGAGCCTCATAAAAATGATTAATAATAGAGGCCTGGGGTAATCCTTCTTTTGGAAAAAAAGAAAAAAATAATACAAATAATACATGTGGACAAATGTGGAGAACGCAGATGCGTCCGCCTGCAAAACTGCATCTTGGTTTTGGTATTTTTCTTAGCATGTTAGAGATGGATACCCTCATAAAAAGCAGAAGTGCTTCCCTTCTGCATAAATGGTGTAATCAAGCCTTTTATACCAATTAATCTATTATGAACTGAAAAAATGGATGAAAGAATGACGCAACTCACTGCAAATGAATTTATTGATGGCCAACAATTGAAGGAAATCCTATGTGGTTGGAAATGTTGAAACTTTTGTTTTGTCTATCTCTCCCGATGGATGATAGTGTAGCTTAATCTGATTATGATGATCTACTGGTTTCTCTCCATCTTAATGAAAAGTTCAGGTGACATTCCACATGTATGGTTCTGTCTGACATTCTTCACATTTCCTCCAAATTTTTGTGTGGCTAGCTCATCTGACTGTTGCCATCACCCGCTGGATAGGTTGTGGAGTTTTTTGCTGCGGGTATCACCGGGACACAGGTGTACTATCGATTTATTCTGATCGGTTTGTGTGGTGGGGTTATTGGTTTAGCGGCGTTGTCGCTGGCATGCGGGATCGTTGTGATGGAGAATTGGTTACCGATGGAATGTGTGGTGTCCATGTGGAGAGCCTGTTGTACCACCATCCCCGCTGCTTGTGTCGGCTGATAATTTCCTAAGCAGACCTAACCTACATTCAAGAAACGTGGCTATATCCGAGCACTATGGAGCGCACCATTCCTTCTAGTAGTTTGTACTGAATTGGTTACTTACTCACAACTAATCTTGCTACTATATGTTTTGTTTCTATTTACACATTCTTATGTGTACGTTACATGCAAACTAACAATGTAATCAAGCCTTTTACATTGAGATACAAACATTTTTTTCTTGTGCCGAACTGAAGTTGTATTTTGTCATAATAATTGTTTTTGACTTTCACAAAAAAAAATTGTAGAGGCGCATTTGGTTTAGATTTTTTCATAAAAAAAGTTAAAATTTACCACAAATATAAGGACATAAATATTATCACATTGGCATATGATATATGTGTCCTTATTCATTGGCTCTTTGAATATCTAAAAATCTTTGTAGTGTACTTGGTATGAATTCTAGCAAATAAGTGAAATAAGTAACACATCATTTATACAAAATCTAGAAATAAAGATATTGTTATGGAAAGGAAGTTTATAATAATTTTCACACGGTGGATGATATGCCGCTGATGATAAGAAAAAAGATAATAAATTTATAGAATATAAAAATCATGCGCATTGAAGATTATATTTTCAAGATTATTCTTGCCGTTAATGGGCGAGAAACAAACACTTTATCCGATAACAGTACATAACCAGACTTTGTCAATCCACACCTCTCGGAAAGAAAAAAAAGTCTAAACGGCATAAATCTAGAATCAGACAAATCAGGCATCACTTGGTGCTAGAGAGCATATTTGGTCTTATATATTTATATTAATCTTTTTTACTTAATCACAACTAATGTTGCAACTATACCTTTGCTGCTTTTCTATTTGCACATAATTATTTGTACATGAGCATTTATGCATTATTTAATATACTATTTGTTAAATATAATACACAAACTAGCAACGCAATCAAGTCATTTATGTTAAAATACAAAAAATAATTTTCATGCACGGAACTTTTTTTTGTTGCAAAAATGTTTTGACTCTCACATCTGAATTAGAATTTTAAATTTTAAAAACTAAAACTTCTTCTATTGATTTTACCCCAAATATAAGCCCATAAATAGTATCACATTGACCAAAAATTAATTCCATGTGTATTGATGTATTATAGTGTGTCTATATTTGTCTTTATCGATTGTCTCGTTAAATATATAGAAACTTTGTAGAGTATTTTTAGTATGAATCTAGCAAATAAGTTGGTAGAGATTCTAGAGTATAATAGTATATGGTTTACATGCAACTAAGACGATAATTCTAGAGTGTACACAGTGTGAACGAGTCACATATTAACACACAGTGTGTTACATGATATCTAGAAACAAAGAGTGTTTATATGTGCCTTTGATGTCCTTCTCTAGAGATATTTGTTCCGAATAACCATATGACATACAACATCTCGGCTGCGTTTAAGGGCGCTGTGATCATTCCATCACTTCGGAACCCAACTCATCCTGAGACATCAGAAGCTCACTGCTGATGATCGATTGTTCGTCGTGCCTCGTGACACATGGGCTTCTAATCAGTTGAGAACACAAGGATTCATTTTAAAAAATGACGTGGATGCATGCTTTGTGACAAGGCCTGGCCTATAGTGTTAGAAATTCTGCGTGTAATAGAATTGTAAGAGAAGATCACTCGAAATGAGTGGTTAGCTATATAGAAAATAGTGAACAGTAAGATAAGAGCTTTTGATGATAAAATACCTCGGGCAGATCAAGAGAAACAAATTTGAATGTCTTTCTCTACAAAATTACGCTGGAAGAGAGAAGCTATATAGAGAAATTCAGTTGACAGCTCTAGTTGTGTAGACGCGCCTAAATTGAACAGCTGATATGAAAAAAAAATACTTCTGCATGGACGAGCTAGCTGTTGGTCTGTTTTTCGTTTATGCTTCAGAACAACAATTCAATTGGGACAATCGTTACATGCAGATTCAATTTTGACATGAACTCTACCAAAAAGATTATTTTTATGTTATGAAAAAGACATCATCACAAACTATGGTATATGCACACGTATGACTCCTAGTCTCAGTTATGGACAACTTAATTTACACTTACTATGCTTTACACCTATTACCACTATACCCTAGCTAGTAGTAATCAGACTATGGACAACTTGTGCTATTGCTTCAGAGGCCAATCAGATCTTCAGAGGTCGGCCTTTCCAGGGTATCTCGGGAAGGGGATGACATCTCTGATGTTGTCAAGGCCCGTGGCGAAGAGGAGCATCCTCTCCAAGCCCAGCCCAAACCCGCTGTGCTTCACGGATCCATAGCGTCGAAGGTCCAGATAGAACTCATAGGATTCCATCGGCAAACCGGCATCCAGTATCCTACATTACACAACATGTTGTTGTTAGTCCACTACAAGTGCCTTTTAATTTGCAGTATTATATGCAGACATGGATTGTTTGTTACAAAAAAGTCATTTTAACAACTTCTCCAACTAAGAAAAGGCGTTGGTACCGTTGTTTCAGGATATCGAAGCGCTCCTCCCTTTGACTTCCACCAATTAATTCACCAACCTAATTAAGAGAAAGTCCACATCCATGCTTATCAATTTTCAATTATATCAGTGAATATTATTTAATGATTCAACATATTACTTCATTTCCCTTATATACCTTGGGTACTAGAACATCCATGGCAGCCACAGTCTTCTGGTCATCGTTGAGCCTCATATAAAACGCTTTTATCCCTCGCGGGTAGTTATAAACGATGACAGGCTTTTTAAATATCACCTCAGTCAAGTACCTTCAGGTTGCAAGAAATTCAGAATCACAACAACAACCCAAACAACGATAAAAACAATGAAAATAACAGAAATATCAGTGCCAATAACTGTATCTGCATACGTGCATACAACTATACATACCTCTCATGCTCGGACGCTAAATCGATTCCCCATTCAACTTTGGTCTGGAACTTCTTGCTACCAGCTGAGCCCATCAGGATCTCAACGGCCTTTGTATACGAGACACGTTCGAAAGGCGTCGAGGAAACGAGCTCGAGACGCTCGATCGCAGACTTATCATGGGTTTTAGCCATGAATTCCATGTCCTCCATGCAATGCTCCAGCAGCCATTTGCACAGGTACTGCACGTAACTCTCTGCATAGTTCATGATATCCTGTATATATGTGACAAAGTTCAGCATGGATATCACATATCAGTATTCCAGCTCCAGCATGACAGAAATAAACACACAGTCCACACACAATGCATATATGTAGAGAACATTATGGATCTGTTACCTGCAGGTTTGCGAATGCGATCTCTGGCTCGACCATCCAGAACTCGGCGAGGTGCCGCGACGTGTGCGAGTTCTCGGCGCGGAACGTGGGACCGAAGGTGTAGACGCCGCTGAGCGCGCAGGCGTAGGCCTCGGCCTGGAGCTGGCCGGAGACGGTGAGGAAAGCCTGACGCCTGAAGAAGTCGCTCTCGAAACTGACAGTTCCTTCTTCATCATCGTCGGCATCATGCTCATGGTGAGCTGCAAGTTTGAGCTTGAGCTCCCTGTCCGCCTTCTGGGCCTGGCTGAAGAGTGTGGTGACCTGGAACATCTCGCCGGCGCCTTCGCAGTCGTTGGTGGTGATAATCGGCGTGTGCACGCACAGGAAGCCCAACTCCCGGAAGAACGAGTGCGTCGCGAACGTGAGCTCGCTCCTCATCCTCGCAACCGCCGCGATGGTGTCGTTGCGCGGCCGGAGGTGGAGGAAGTCCCGCAGGTGGTCGAGCTTGAGCTGCCTGGTCTTGGGGAGCGGGTAGGCGGCCGGGTCGTCGACCTCGCCGGCCTCGATGACGGCCTCGACGCCCAGCTCGATGCGCTCCTTGCTCTTCCCGGGCGGGACCCGGAGCACGCCGGAGACGAGCACGGAGGTCCCCGTGGTCGCGAGGCGGGCGAGCGGCGGGTGCGCCACCCAGGCCGCTTCGACGACGAGCTGGAGGCTGGCGTGGCAGGAGCCGTCGTTGACGGTGAGGAAGGCCATGGTGCCGCCGCACTGGACGCGGCCGGCCCGGACCCAGCCGCCCACGACCACGCGCTCGCCGGCGAGAGCGTCCGTGGCGGCAAGGATCGCGCGGATGGGCGTGCGGGACGTGGCCATGGGAGTCTCCAGGTGGTCTGCGGCCGGGAGCTCAGCCGTCGGTGCTGCCATCGTGGAGGCCGCCATGTTGGAATTCTGACTCTTTTACTTCTCGGCGGCAACTAAAAAGGACTCCTTTTTCTCTTGAAACGTGGGGGCCAAGGCAAGTCCATACGTCGGGGCCAAGGCAACTGCACAATCAACTCTACACTGTGTGACCAGTCAGTTTGCGTCAAGATTCATGTTATCCTTATAGAAATTTTCTTTTTCGTTTCTTTCAAACAAGAGAAGATTTTTTTGGAACGAAGGCTCAAGAAAATCCCGGCTTTGAATTAACAAAGCCATCAACCGGCAGGCGTTACAAAGAGCGTTACAACGAACCAACAAAGCTAACGAAGACGAAAAGGATACAAGGGGCTGATGGAGCAGCTTACAACGCAACACACACTAACAAGCACAAAATAGGAAAAAGGAGCACAACTTGCTAGTGTCGCTGCCCACTACACTAAGGGCCAAGGACACCCAAACATAGTAGATTGCAATGGATCAACCGTCTGCTAAGAGAAGGACCAAGATTGTGTCTGGAGCATCGGGCGGAGAAGGGACAGCTCCTATCTCCTCAGATGCCGAAAAGGGCCCCTACCCTCGTCGGCAAGAGAGATGCTCACCCTAGAGCTTGGATAGGAGCCGGCTTCACGGCCACTCGTCGAGAGCACGCCGCCTGACCTGCACGTAGCCAAAAGCACACCACGCCAGCTACAACGTCGCCGCCTTCGGACAATCAGCAAAGAGGGAAAGCCACCTGGGGCAATCGCAGAGGATGAAACAGCACCGAGCCAAGCCACAGCAGCGAGCATCACGAGCGCAAGATCGAACACCGCAGAGAATGCAGGTACTCAACAACACGGCAACAGCTACGCCGGAGAGAACCACCAAAGGGGGCGCCGGATCTGCAAATCATGACATCGTTGGCCACTGTCACTACTAGGGAAAAGCCTAGCAGCAGCGCGGGTTTTAGGCCTATCAGTAGCGCGGGCAGGTGCGCTACTGATAAGGCGCTACAACTAATGCTTAGCAATAGCGCGCCTAGATCGACGCTACTGCTAAATTGACTTAGTAGTAGCGCTTCGTCAGAATAGCGCTACTGGTAATTAGTAGTAGCGCTTCTCCTTTCCCGCGCTACTACTATTATTTAGTATTTTATTTCTTTTTTATTTCATGTTGTATTCATACACCTTTACACAAGTTTTCATACAACAGGAATTTAGAGATTATTTTTACATCATAATGAGTTATTACATCACGAGGTGAAAGAACCGTGGACTAGTTTCAAGTGGATGTCCATCCACTTCAAACTAATCCGCGGTTCTTTCACCCAATGATATAATAATATCATCATCATCATCATATCATTAACAACTTATCATCATAATACATCATTGTCATATAACACCTCATTATCAAGTACTCCTCATTATCAACTCTAACACATTACCACATAATAAACATATTGTACCTCATAGGACCTATTACATTCGATTAAGACCTACTACATTTTCTAAGGTAAAATACCAAAAAAACAAGATAGCCCCTGACTCTCCATTATGGAGAATGAAGATTAGCCTGTCTCCAATTCTTGCCTTTCGCTGAATGTTAATTTCAAGAACCTCCTTGCGAATGTGCATACATTTCTTCCATTCTTTGATGAACATGTGTTCACGGGTTTTAGAAATCCGATATGCACAGGTGAGCTCCGTAGATTTACCTGGCAGTATGTTCAGAACTGAGAGGCGACCATGCAGAGACATCGGATGAGGCACACAATCCATCGGGAGTTTCTGTTGAAAAACATAATAATAACTTCGTAGTTAGCAATGATGTACTAGTTTTAGAAGTATGCAAAAGATGCACGGATGTCGTAATAGTAAAAAATCTTACCAGGGTATCTCCAGAGAAGTTACCGTGGTTCAACACATGCACTAGTGACACGTATTCACCATAATTTGGAGGAGTTCGATAATAGTTATTGTAATTCTCAAGAAGAGTACAAAATGCGATCGGATGATTTTTCTCCTTATACGTTAATTCGGTGCCATCAGTGTAGTGGGTTTTATCTACCATCTTCTGCACAGTCTTTGAAGAATCAAAATAAGCTGTCAATGGAAATAAGCTATCAACTATTTTGAAATAAACAATATAAATTAGTTAATAACTATGTTTGAGAAACTCACATAGCGGTACAATCGGAAGCGTATCAACAAGGACCCAAATGTCCATATTGTCTTGCTCGATGTCAGGATCACCAAGATCCATGGTGACAATCATACCCTCATAAAAACCATACATTTTGCAAAGTGCTTCCCAATTTTGCCAACCAAAATGGGTTACGCTCTGAGCATTGCACAGATTTACTTCAAAATCCATATCATGATGGGTCCTTAGGTGTATTTTCTTTGTTTCGAAATTTTTATGGTCTTCAAAACCCATCCTCTCCAAGACATAGCGTCTTGCATGGCATGGGATAAGCTAGTCGAATTGTAAAATATGAAAATTTAAACATTAAAATAGTTGAAGTCATGCTTAATTACGAAAAAAAACACTTGTCGTTGTTGCGTACCGTTTCACAATCGAAGGTCTCCTCGAGCTTAATGCTGAAGCGCCGATCTTCGTCCAGCTGAACGAACCTGTCGCACATACCTCGATCGTCGTGGCACCAGCTACACTTCCCCGGGAGACTATCCTCGTCCGAGTACGACATTTCCTACGTTCATAATTCAAAGATTAAACTTGTACATATTCTAGCACAAGTCATGCCAAAATTCACGAAAAAATCCGGCATGACCTTTGCTAAAAAAGGACATATCGAGCGCCTGAAATTTGCCGGAACGGAAATTAATCAACACTCCGGCAAAACATAGGCCACTCGGAGATGTAAACTGAACATGAACGGCCACTTGGGCAACCACATATCCTATTTGAGCAATGACACAAGATATACAAGGATATTTGGCTGGTCTCACCTCAATGTCGGAGGGGGTCGGTGACTGGGACGACGGCGGGGATGTCGGAGGGGGTCGGTGACGGGGACGACGGTGGTCACCTGAAACCATATAAGTTATCACTAATACATCCCGAATAATTGCTTAAACTAAAAAGTAACAACAAATATGACATGTTCAACTAGTTCTTACTAAATATAAACTTACTATAAATAGAAAAAAACTAGTTCTTTCTAAAAATAAAGTAGTTCAACTAGTTATATTAATTATCTTACTAAAAATATATTAGTTCTATTAATTCAACTAGTTCAACTAGTTTATTAATTTACTTACTAAACTAGTTCAACTACAACTAAAGTAGTTCAACTACAACTACTATTAATCATACTACCCTAGTTAACTAGTACCATCACTACTAGTAATTAACATGTACTACTACTAAAAATCTAGTACTAACTAAGCAACATCTAGTACTAGCTATGAACCCTAAATTAACATCTACAACTACTAAATCTAGTACTAACTAGTGGCAGGGGGTGGGGGGCGACGGAGAGGTAGCTAGGGGCGGCGAGGTCGAGGGCGGTGGGAGGAGGGATGCCGGCGGAGGAGGGAGGAGGGGCGGCCGCAGGCGGAGGGAGGAGGGCGGCGGCGGAGGAGGGAGGGGCGGCCGCAGGCGGAGGGAGGATGTGCGAGGAGGAGGAAGGAGGGACGGAAGGAGGGGAGTACCTCGCGGCGGACGGACGAAGGCGGCGGCGGCGGCGATGCACGACGACGGTTATCGGCACGCGGGCGATAGTGAGAGTGTGAGTGAGGGCCGGTCGTGCGCGTGGGGATAAGGTAGGGATAGTTGTAGCGCGTTTGCCAGAACGCGCTACAGCTAATCTGAATAACAGCAGCGCTTTGCGTATAAACCGCTACTGCTAAGTGTAACTATACAAAAAATACATCAATGCAAAAATACATTGGCCATCAATGATCTTTTTGTGTACAATCTGAATTGTCAATATGAGTCCTCTCCGGTAGGAACCGGAGAGGACTCATATTGCGGCGACAAATTTTACACATAGAGTTCAGTGAAGACCAACTGGTTGTGGTAGTTTCAGAAATAACATATTTAAGGTGGTAAACACCCTGTTCACGGAGCGAGGTGGGACTAAACTTGTGGGCTGATCTTAGCAGTAGCGGTTTTCCTAGAAGCGCGCTGCTGCTAACTTCTAT